TGTTTTTACTGCTTAAGGCTACATATGTAACAGAAATAATGGTATTTCTTAGCTTAAATTGTGGATGCTGGTGTTTGTGGATGATTGTGGAGAGAGTGGAGTTATACTGTGGTCCTACTGGGCTGAGGTGGATAGTAGAGGTTCTGGTACTGAAGTCAATGGTTGTACTGGAGTGTCTAACTTTGTCATTCAGTCAGTCAAGTCATTCAGTACATCAGTCAAGTCATTCAGTACATCAGTCAACTCATTCAGAAAGTCAGTCAAATCATTCATTAAGTAAGTCAGTCAGTCAGTCAAGTCAGTCAGTCAGTCAAGTCAGTCAAGTCAGTCAAGTCAGTCAGTCAGTCAAGTCAGTCAAGTCAGTCAAGTCAGTCAAGTCAGTCAAGTCAGTCAAGTCAGTCAAGTCAGTCAAGTCAGTCAAGTCAGTCAGTCAGTCAGTCAGTCAGTCAGTCAGTCAGTCAGTCAGTCAGTCAGTCAGTCAGTCAAGTCAGTCAAGTCAGTCAAGTCTCAAGTCAGTCCCAATCATCAAGTTTATCAGTAAGTCAGTCATTCAATAAGTTAGTCATTCAGCAAGTCAGTCAGTCACACAAACTTATGTTTACCTCTTTTTATGTGTACAAAGTAACACTTCATTATGGCCACAGGTTATGTCTTGTCTAATATCTTTGTTTATTTCATTAATTTTAAGACTTAAATGCTTATACCTTTTCTTGCCACTTTGAGCAACACTGGTATGCCTACTGGGTGTCAAGTTTGCTTGGCAGATACAAGATACAGTAATTAAAAGATCAACTCAGTACACAATCACAAGCTTGTTGGACTGGACATGTATGAAGTACGAGTACTGGGATGGTGAGGTGGTGTCAGGGGGTGGCTGGGGACTGCAGGAGGTCTACCCCGCTGATCCACAACAAGGCGGCCACTTGAGGAAAAGGGAAGTTTTTTTCCTTCCTGCAAACTGAACCGTGTTAAATTAATTTTATTACGTGTTACATAAAATTGTGCCGCAATTCTTCAATCATGCTATACCCAAATCGTGCCAAATAAACTCGTGCTAAATGACGGCCTACTGCAGGTGAACTGAAGAACTTATGGGAAAAATAGGGTTATGTTCCTGGGAGCCCCAAAAATGCCAAACACCTTTTTTTAGACCTCCACATCTTAATAATAATATAATAATAATATCTTTATTTACTACAAGCACATGTACAAGGTATACAGGCCTAGCTGACAACAATGACATACTACTATATAGAAAGCCCCTTGTTATGCTCAGCATGTTGGGCAAATTAGGTCAGTGTCCCAGGATGCAACCCACACCAGTCGACTATCACCCAGGTACCCATTTTACTGATGGAGAACATAGACAACAGGTGGAAAGAAACGCGACCAATGTTTCTACTCTGGCTGGGAATTGAACCCAGGCCCTCGCCATGTGAAGCGAGAGCGTTTTACTGCATAAGATTACAAATGTAACAGCAATAATAGTATTTCATACCTTAAATTGTGGGTGCTGGTGTTTGGGCTGAGGTGGATGGTAGAGATTCTGGTACTGAAGTCGATGGTTGTATTGGAGTGTGCATAAATTCTGTAATGGATTTCTGTTCTATTTTACCCTACAGTACATTATACAGTTGATGGTAAGGCATCAGCTGCTCTAGACACCATTTCAGGGTCCTCTTCAGTGAAAAAGTCTAACTTTAAGTCATTCAGTCTAACAGACTCATGTTTACTTCATTTTATGTGCACAGAGCAAGCTTCATTGCAGCCACAAGTTATCTCTTGTCTAATATCTCTGTTTTCTTTGTTAATTCTAAGACTTAAAGGCTTATACCTTTTGTTGCCACTTTCAGCAACACTGGTATGCCTACTGGGTGTCATGACTGCTTGGCAGATACAAGATATGGTAATGAAAAGATGGAAACACAATTTACAAACACAGCTAGCTTGTAGCAGAGAAACTGGACATGTATGAAGCACGAATGCTGGGATAGTGTGTTGAGGGGTGGCAGGGGATGGCGGGAGGTCTTCCTCACTCATCCACAACTTTCCCTGCTCATCCACAACAAGGCGGCAGCTTGAGGAAATTTTTTTTTTTTCCACTCCCACAAACTGAACCATTTTAAATTGATTTTATGAAGTGTTGTATGAAATTGTGCCGCAATTCTTCAATCGTGCTATACTCGAATCGTGCCAAAGAAACTCGTGTTAAATGACGGTCTACTGTACAGTACTGTAAACATTACAAAATGTACCAGTAATGTTATAAATGGTGCAAAGGTGACATTAAAACAATATCAAAGATGGTTGACACAAACCCACTACCATTATAGTATGCTCCTCGCATAGCGATGTCTTAGGAACAGAACTCTGTGGTTAAGTGAGGAGAAGCTGTGGTATGCTCATGGACAGACATTTTCAGAAGAGGAATCAACATGCACACATATGTGGAAGTACGCACATGCACACACAAGTAGACTAGGACAGACACTTCTGTCAGAAGAAAATTCAAGCACTTCTGTCAAAAGAAAATTCAGAGCACAAACTGACACAATAGACATGGAACAATATTTCGCCAATAGAGGATTCAGAATAAGCAAACACAGTATAGAAGGACCGACACTGCCAGAAATGAACCCAGAGCTCGTAAAGAAACTGATTATCCAACTGTCATAGCAATGTCAAAAACATTTTTCAACATATGGGTTCAGAGCTGTGTGTGATGTTAGTACCAACAGCTTGACTTATCTAGCCATCAACTAACAGTCCTGCAACTACTATCAGGGGACAAAGGTGAGGCTAGTGGGGAGAGGGACTACCGCTAATGCACGTATAGTTGGTTCAGATTATTATTATTATTATGTGGCATCATTTTATTGCTCGGTAGTCAGGCTTGCATTGTAAGTAAATAAGTATAATTTAAACTTTTTTCAACATCATCCAGTTGTGACATCGGCACACTTTCCAAAATTGTGCTAACATCACAGTGAGATTACCCTGTGACTGTAACTTCTGCACCCTTTGTTCAGAGTGCAGGTACCCTCCAGTGCTTTGGCAGAAGATGGCTAGGAAAGGATATTTGGCATTTGTAGAGCATCTGTTTAAAAAAACATGATTCTTTGAAACTTTAGCATAGTCTGTTTGTCAGTGTTGTAAATTTCTGTTAAAAAAGTGTTGTACATAATAAACTAAACTTCATGTAAATGAAAAGTATGTATATAATAGAAAGAAATACATATATTTCACTTACGCTACACTCCAGTATCCTTAAATCATAAATCAGTTAGGTCTTCAATGATTGAACTAACACTGATGCAGTCTTTTTTATGGGTGGGTGTGTGTGCATGCATGTACGTGCCTGTGCATGCATGCTTGTGTGCACGAGCGAGCGAGAATAAATGAATCTGTGCAGAAATTGTCAATGTTTGAGTTGTTTGTGAGCCGAGATTCAAATGTGAGAAAAGCAAGTTCAGCTTCTTGATCAGATGATGTGTCTTGAAATGAAGTGTTGGCAGATGAGTGTAAACTAGTGTCTGAAATGTTGATTCACATGTTTTCATATTCTGACACTGAATGCTTTTATTTGGAGGTTCATGTTTATGTTTATCCTCTTTGTATGTTATTGTCATTTCTGAAAATAATGCACTAATAACCTACACAATAAATAAATGTGGTTTGTGAATTAATGTTACAAAAAATAATGATTTCAAATGTTAAAAGCCCCTTTCCAAACTATAATGATTACTCATAATTTAGAAGTACTGTATTGAAAGAACTCAAAATTCTGTATAACATTTGATTAACAGTTGGCATGGAACTTTGCATTTTTATTTTTGTAATGTTTCTTCCCATCATTCCTCATTAAAGTCTCTAGTTCTGATATAATGATTTCAGTGAAAGTTACAGCTCTGGTGAGACAGCACTCTCTGGACTCAAGTTGTGTGTCAACTTGGCTTATAACCCCCAGTCTTATTGGGAAATGGACAACGTGTTAAAAAAGGAAAAGTTGCTCTGAGGCTAATGCAAAAAAGTCGAATATTAAGTCGTGATGGCCAGCAGACCTCACTTACTTTGTAGTTCTCTTTCACAGGGACTGAAAAATTCCGAGGAGGAGGGGTAGGGGGGGAACTGAAACATGTCTGGCTGCCCCTGGGAATTTTTTAATACCCTGTGAAGTTAATTACATAATGTAAACAAGCAGGCCTGCCAGTCATCATGTAAGACAATGTCTAGCTTTGATATAGTACTATATTGCATAATGATTTTTTTTTTTTTTTTTTTTTTTCATTACTCTGGTTGGTAAGTAATGATACTGGATACCAGTATGATGGTAGAAAGAAGAGACAAATTCATTTACAGTACACAGAGTATTTATTGATGATGTTTCATCCACACATTGGGGAAAACATCATCATTAAAAGTTACCCATTGGTTACTGGCACTTGGTTTTGGTGGTTACTGCCACCTTCACCTAGTCCCCAATCAATCCTTTTGGTTGTTGACCTGATCAAACAGGCTGTTGGTACCAACATATGTGCCCCATGGGGTCTAGCTGATCAGGAACTGATTTGAGGAACTTAAGTTCTCTGGTGAAGACAGCCAGTGGTTTTCTTTTATGCATGAAGGGAGGGTGTTGAGTCTTGTTCTCCTTACACTTTTAAGTTTTCTTTTAGTGTATAGTGCCCCCCAGCTTTCGTCTGAGGTGTTTTGCATCATTTGCCAAGCCTCTTCCTTTCATATTACTGGAAGAGGCCTGATCTGCAACCATAGCTTGGGAGTAATGGCTTCCAAGAACCATCAACAGGTCCTGATGTGTTCAGATTAGAGGTGCAACACATTGGAAACTTTTAGCACTGCAAAGGAAACTTAAGCAGTTACTGAAAGTGCTCTCCTGTCTTGTGTTTTTTGAAATACATTTTGTGCATTTATTTTTATCTTTATGAATGTCACTTTGCATGTTTCTCCATGTACTGTACATCTAAACCTTTACTGTCTTTCAGGTCATGGTAGCGATGCTGCCATGCCCAGTGGGCTATTGCCCAGTGTTAGTCGTGGAATTGTTAACAACAGTACAGTTATCGAGATTTTGATAGAGCTACTGTGTCGAGAACGTGAACCTGACCCCAAGAGGAGAGAAGTGCTATTTAAAGGTAAATGAATTGCTTCTTAAGGTATTGTTGTTGTTTTAGAAACACCATTTATACCATAAGGGATGCAGTGTACTTGAAATTAGTAACTTTTTATTGTTATTGATGATAAACATAATATAATGAGGAGGTGCGGGATTACCAAAACTGTTGTCCAGAGGGCTGCGGAAGGGTTGTTGAGGTGGTTTGGACATGTAGAGAGAATGGAGCGAAACAGAATGACTTCAAGAGTGTATCAGTCTGTAGTGGAAGGAAGGCGGGGTAGGGGTCGGCCTAGGAAAGGTTGGAGGGAGGGGGTAAAGGAGGTTTTGTGTGCGAGGGGCTTGGACTTCCAGCAGGCATGCGTGAGCGTGTTTGATAGGAGTGAATGGAGACAAATGGTTTTTAATACTTGACATGCTGTTGGAGTGTGAGCAAAGTAACATTTATGAAGGGATTCAGGGAAACCGGCAGGCCGGACTTGAGTCCTGGAGATGGGAAGTACAGCGCCTGCACTCTGAAGGAGGGGTGTTAATGTTGCAGTTTAAACTGTAGTGTAAAGCACCCTTCTGGCAAGACAGTGATGGGGTGAATGATGGTGAAAGTTTTTCATTTTTCGGGCCACCCTGCCTCGGTGGGAATCGGCCAGTGTGTTAATAATAAAATAAAAATATTATTCATTATACTTTATAATGAAGTTATCAATGGAGAGGAATAAATGGGATTAGGTCAGGGGTTTCAAATAGAGTTAGAGCTAAAGAAAGAGTAGCAATAATGTTGAAGGATAAGCTATGGCAGGAAAAGAGGGACTACAAATGTATAAATTCAAGGATTATGTGGAGTAAAATAAAGATTGGATGTGAAAAGTGGGTTATAGTAAGCGTGTATGCACCTGGAGAAGAGAGAAGTGTAGAGGAGAGAGAGATTCTGGGAAATGTTGAGTGAATGCGTGGGGAGTTTTGAATCAAGTGTGAGAGTAATGGTGGTTGGGGATTTCAATGCTAAAGTGGGTAAAAATGTTATGGAGGGAGTAGTAGGTAAATTTGGGGTGCCAGGGGTAAATGTAAATGGGGAGCCTTTAATTGAGCTATGTGTAGAAAGAAATTTTGTAATAAGTAATACATATTTTATGAAAAGGAGGATAAATAAATATACAAGGTATGATGTAGCACGTAATGAAATTAGTTTGTTAGATTATGTATTGGTGGATAAAAGGTTGATGGGTAGGCTCCAGGATGTACATGTTTATAGAGGGGCAACTGATATATCGGATCATTATTTAGTTGTAGCTACAATTAGAGTAAGAGGTAGATGGGAAAAGAGGAAGGTGGCAACAAGAAGTAAGAGGGAAGTGAAAGTGCATAAACTAAGGGAGGAGGAAGTTCGGTGAGATATAAGCAACTATTGGCAGAAAGTTGGGCTGGTGCAAGTATGAGTAATGGAGGGGTTGAAGAGGGTTGGAATAGTTTTAAAAATGCAGTATTAGAATGTGGGGCAGAAGTTTGTGGTTATAGGAGGGTGGGGGCAGGAGGAAAGAGGAGTGACTGGTGGAATGATGAAGTAAAGGGTGTGATAAAAGAGAAAAAGGTAGCTTATGAGAGTTTTTTACAAAGCAGAAGTGTTATAAGAAGAGCAGAGTATATGGAGAGTAAAAGAAAGGTGAAGAGAGTGGTGAGAGAGTGCAAAAGGAGTGCAGATGATAGAGTGGGAGAGGCACTGTCAAGAAATTTTAATGAAAATAAGAAAAAATTTTGGAGTGAGTTAAACAAGTTAAGAAAGCCTAGGGAAAGTATGGATTTGTCAGTTAAAAACAGAGTAGGGGAATTAGTAGATGGGGAAAGGGAGGTATTAGGTAGATGGCGAGAATATTTTGAGGAACTTTTAAATGTTGAGGAAGAAAGGGAGGTGGCAATTTCATGCACTGGCCAGGGAGGTATTCCATCTTTTAGGAGTGAAGAAGAGCAGAATGTAAATGTGGTGGAGGTACTGAGGTATTACGTAGAATGAAAGGGGGTAAAGCAGCTGGAACTGATGGGATCATGACAGAAATGTTAAAAGCAGGGGGGGATATAGTGTTGGAGTGGTTGGTACTTTTGTTTAATAAATGTATGAAAGAGGGGAAGGTACCTAGGGATTGGCGGAGAATATGTATAGTCCCTTTATATAAAGGGAAAGGGGACAAAAGAGATTGTAAAAATTATAGAGGAATAAGTTTACTGAGTATACCAGGAAAAGTATACGGTAGGGTTATAATTGAAAGAATTAGAGGTAAGACAGAATTTAGGATTGCAGATGAGCAGGGAGGCTTCAGAGTGGGTAGGGGATGTGTAGATCAAATGTTTACATTGAAGCATATATGTGAACAGTATTTAGATAAAGGTAGGGAAGTTTTTATTGCATTTATGGATTTAGAAAAGGCATATGATAGAGTGGATAGAGGAGCAATGTGGCAGATGTTGCAAGTATATGGAATAGGTGGTAAGTTACTAAATGCTGTTAAGAGTTTTTATGAGGATAGTGAGGCTCAGGTTAGGGTGTGTAAAAGAGAGGGAGAATACTTCCCGGTAAAAGTAGGTCTTAGACAGGGATGTGTAATGTCACCATGGTTGTTTAATATATTTATAGATGGGGTTGTAAAGAAGTAAATGCTAGGGTGTTCGGGAGAGGGGTGGGGCTAAATTGTGGGGAATCAAATTCAAAATGGGAATTGACACAGTTACTTTTTGTTGATGATACTGTGCTTATGGGAGATTCTAAAGAAAAATTGCAAAGGTCAGTGGATGAGTTTGAGAATGTGTGTAAAGGTAGAAAGTTGAAAGTGAACATAGGACAGAGTAAGGTGATGAGGGTATCAAATGATTTAGATAAAGAAAATTTGGATATCAAATTGTGGAGGAGGAGTATGGAAGAAGTGAATGTTTTCAGATACTTGGGAGTTGACGTGTCGGCGGATGGATTTATGAAGGATGAGGTTAATCATAGAATTGATAAGGGAAAAAAGGTGAGTGGTGCGTTGAGGTATATGTGGAGTCAAAAATCGTTATCTATGGAGGCAAAGAAGGGAATGTATGAAAGTATAGTAGTACCAACACTCATATGGATGTGAAGCTTGGGTGGTAAATGCAGCAGCGAGGAGACGGTTGGAGGCAGTGGAGATGTCCTGTCTAAGGGCAATGTGTGGTGTAAATATTATGCAGAAAATTCGGAGTGTGGAAATTAGGAGAAGGTGTGGAGTTAATAAAAGCATTAGTCAGAGGGCAGAAGAGGGGTTTGTTGAGGTGGTTTGGTCATTTAGAGAGAAGGATCAAAGTAGAATGACATGGAAAGCATATAAATCTATAGGGGAAGGAAGGAGGGGTAGGGGTCGTCCTCGAAAGGGTTGGAAAGAGGGGGTAAAGGAGATTTTGTGGGTGAGGGGCTTGGACTTCCAGCAAGCGTGCGTGAGCGTGTTAGATAGGAGTGAATGGAGACGAATGGTACTTGGGACCTGACGATCTGTTGGAGTGTGAGCAGGGTAATATTTAGTGAAGGGATTCAGGGAAACCGGTTATTTTCATATAGTCGGACTTGAGTCCTGGAAATGGGAAGTACAATGCCTGCAATTTATAGGAGGGGTTTGGGATATTGGCAGTTTGGAGGGATATGTTGTGTATCTTTATACGTATATGCTTCTAAACTGTTGTATTCTGAGCACCTCTGCAAAAACAGTGATAATGTGTGAGTGTGGTGAAAGTGTTGAATGATGATGAAAGTATTTTCTTTTTGGGGATTTTCTTTCTTTTTTGGATCACCCTGCCTCAGTGGGAGATGGCTGACTTGTTGAAAAAAAAAAAAAATCTGTTATTATACAAAATTATCATCAAACAGGCGTGTGCGACCATGTCAGTTAGGAGTGAGTGGAAGAAAGTGGTTTTTATGACTTGACTTACTGTTGGAGTATGAGCAAGGTAACATTTATGATGGGATTCATTCCCGGAGGCAGGAAGTACAGTGCTTGCACTCTGAAGGAGGGGTGGAGATAGGCAGTTTGGAGGAACATTTGAACTGTAGTGTTGGTGTGCCTCCGGTAAGACAGTGATGGAGTGAGTGATGGTGAAAGTGTTTTTTTTTGGGGGGGGGGGGTTGTCACCCTGCCTTGGTTGGAGATGGCTAGTATGGTAATAAATTAGAGAGAGATTATCATCCATTATTATATAAGAAGATTATTATTCATTCTTATATAAGATTATCATCTCTATAGTTGTGGCATGGGAAGTAGTGTCTACAGTCTTAAGGATGAACTTGGATGTTGCAGTTCAGAGGGTCATTTGAATTGTGATGTCCATGTACTTCTAGCAAGACAACTAGAGAATGAATGATGGTGAATGATTCCTTCTCAGAGTCACCCTACTCTTAATGTCTGTATTATTATTATTACCTTTCATGTTGGTTCATTTATGCCATTGATCAGTGTTTATTAGTATGTTTTTTTCTGATTGTTTTCATTTATTTTTGATATTTTAATCTATACTTCAGTGGTCCCTTGAGTTTTGATGGTCTTGAGTTAATAATTTTGAGTTATGATTTACCCTCATAGAGGAATTGGTTTTGAGTTGTGATGAAAAATTTGAGATATGATACACATACAATGATTAGTGCTCACTGGTGGGCCTCAGCCAACCAGTGATGTGGTAGCTTGCCTCTAGGTATTGGGCAGTGTCTGAACTGATAGGAGCATCAGTGGGAGTGTGGGGGTGGCTTAGCAGCCAGTCAGTGATAGGAATGAATGTTTCTGGAATAGCATCTCATTCAGTAGCAGTGTTTGTAATACAGTTTGTTGTTTCCTTTTCAGTTTCAAGGTCCCATATATGTTGCCCCTACCAACTCTTAGTGATTTAATTATGCTATTTTTTGTATTAAGTCATCATGACCCCTGAAGATGAAGCAGGAAATTGTGAAAGAGTATAATGAAGTTAGAATTAGTGCATTGGTGCATGAGTATGGCTTTTCAGTATCAACCATCTCTGTTGCTGTCAAGCAAATAG